AGAGAGAGAGAGGGGGACGAGGAAGAGGAAGAAATGATCCAACATCCGGATGTCAGCACAGCAAGGAGATATCGTCAAAGAGGAGGGGCAGAGAAGAGAGGGATGCAGTGGCGATACGCGAGTCAAGGATCGGCAAGATCGCCGCGGGTGGGAGAGCACCCAAGCGCACCTTAAACTTTTGAAAATCGATGGTGCCATTGTTGTCAACATCAAAGAGGTTGATCAAGAGGCTGATGGTGGGAGAGGCAGGGGGCGGAGGAGGGAAAGCACAGAGGGGAAGAAAGGAATGTTAGTTGATTGACAACCACAGGAGTCAAGGTCAGGGGGCGGTGGGCTCATGAAAGGGACGCACTTGATCGTGGACATGGCAAAGGGCCGATTAGCCCATCCGCCATTGGTGAGGCAGCGCTGAAGCTCCTCCGCGTTGATTGTCCCTGAACGGTCACTGGCGATGGAAGAGGAGGAACATGGAGACGATCACAGGGGTCAGAGAGAGGAGACATACAAAAAGAGAGAGAGAGAGAGAGAGAGGGGAGGGCGAGGCGAAAGTGGGCAGTGGCGTTTCAAAAGGGAGGGGGCGGGGGAGTCGAGATGCAGGCTTACGTGTCTACGGCGCGGAAGAAATTCAGAAGCTGCGCTTCCTGGGGAGACATCGCAGGGTAGCCGCCGTGGCCAGGAGGGGGGTGACGCTGATATGACATGGCTGTGTGGGTGGGAGGAGAGAGTGAGCACCAAGGGCAAGACGGGGAAAGATCTACACGACCGGGGGGAGGCTGGAGGGAGAAAGAGAGAGGGAGGAGGCGGGGGGGGGGAAGTGTGGGGCGACGCACTTGGGGGCGGAGACTCCGACGAATGGGGATGGGAAACCAAATCCGGGGATGGCGAGGACGGAGAAAAGAGGGAGGGCGAGAGGGGAGGGGGCGAGGGGGAGAGCGAGGGAGGGGGGGGGGAGGGGTAGAAAGAGGGAGCGTTCAGGAGGGGCATTCGGGAGGGAGGCAATCCGCTGCTTCTACTCCAGCAACCAGGCAGACGGGCGCCCCGGGCATCTGAAAAAGGTCGCGCAGGAGGGTCCGGCCAAGGCCGGGAGTCTCGCGGAACTGTGTGTACCATTGCCGGGCCTCATGCGCCGCCCTCCCCCCCCCCCTCCCTCCGGGCTGCCCCCCCACACCGAAAAAGCCGGAAACAGGGAAAGCGCACCGGTTCACGAGGACCGCCCGTGCCTTGCTCGCCACTTTTCCGGCGTCAACAGCGGAGGAAGGG